TTTGCAAGACCCCATCTCAATCAGCAGCTGAATGCAATGTGCACACCTGTCATCCCAAACTATGCAGGAAGCTGGGATTGAGAATATCGAGGTTCCAGGCCAGCCCCAGGGGAAAAAAGTTTGTGAAACCTCTCATCTCAATAGAAAAAGCTGGGCATGGTGGTGTGCATCTGTCATCCCAACTACAACAGGGAGCGTAAAATAAAGGATCATGGTCTAGTCCAGGCAGGACAAAAAGCAAGACCGTATCTCCAAAATAACCAGAGCAGAAAGGGCTGTGGCGGTAGCCCTACTCTCTCAAAACAATAGAGCACCTGCCTAGCAAGAGCAAAGCCCTGAATTCAAACCCCAATACCGCCAAAAAAAAAATGAATGATATAAATGTCAAGTGAAAATGGAAAACATTTTAATGTTTCTGATTGGTGAGATCTTACTAAATCAGTTGTAAATAATGGAGAAGCCCAGTAGTGTCTGCAGAGTACTTCAGAGCACGTTATTTGCAGTGAGAAGAGTCTGTATTTTTGCTACTGAGCCATTGGTTCTGTTTGCTTCATTTAATGTGTGGTGCTGTATTGTAGAGATTAAATTTTCCTCAGGGCATAGCACCATCAGGTGAATTGTTTTCCACTCTGGTCACAGTCTCCTCCTTCCTGTTATTATAAATGTGCTTGATTTAAACAAAATGAGCACATGCAGGCCTTGCTTGGATATATATATAGCCAGTTTGGGGTTTTTACTCAGACTTCCTTATTTGGTAACTCTAGATTGTCCTTCAATTTTTACTGATTAAGTTGTTCCTTTGGAGGTTTCTATTTGAGTATATGACAATGAGAAGTAGGAAGGTTTAAACAAACAAACAAAAAGCCCAAAAAGTTTGGTGGGGTGGCACATGCCTGTAATCCCAGCACTGGGGTAAGGTAGAGGCTGGGAGAGGCTGAAGCAGAATTTCAAGTTGGAGGTAATCCAGGCTACATAGTGAAACCCTGTCTCAAAAGAAAGAGAGAAGGAGGGAGGGAGGAAGGGAGAGAAAAACAGAAGAAAAAAGTTGTATAAGAAATAAAAACATTTAAAACCTTAAAAAAAAAAAGATGTCTGTTCTTTACTCTGTTTTCCTGCGACAACAACAAAATTTATTAATTGCCAGAGACCGTATGCAGTATTTGCTCTCTGCATCTTTAGAGAAAAGGTTTGCTCACTCTAGGTTTATTTGCCGCTTTTGATTTTTTTCATTTTTCGACTCTGATTTTTTGGAACTTCTTTTTGCAGTGCTATGCATGCTAAGCAAATGCTGTACAACTGAGCTGCGTCCTCCAGTTTTTGGTTTTTTTAATTGCCCAATTCTGCTAGAAGTTGTCTGTTTTCGTAATCTTTTTTAAAAAAGAAACTTTTGGTTTTATCAATCTGTTGTTCTTTTCCATTTATTTCTCCCACTCTTTATTATTTCCTTCCATCCTGTCTCTGTAAGTTTGCTCTGTTGCTCCTCTTTACAATGTTTAGAAACTTAATTTTCTTATTTAGAAACTTAATTTTCTTGTATTTAATGTTGTAAATTTACCTTGAATGCCAGTTGTGTCCCACAACTTTTCCTTGGTAATATGTTTATTTTCCTTCAATTACAAGTATATCCTAATTCTCAATTACTCCTTGTAGATAGTAATTTGTTACTTTTAAATCTATGGGATTTTTTAAAGTGATTCTTTTATCAATTTCTAATTAGATTGCATTACAGCCAGATCACACAGTCTAAATATTATTGGCTGCCTGCATTTGAAGGTCTCTGTTCAGTCAAGTATGCCAGTCAAAATGAAGAAATTATGGATGCAAAAGAGATAGGTACAATGGCTAAGGCGTATGTATGTGAAATGATCTCTTTTTGGCTGCACAATAATTCAAATATCCATCAATAAGTGCCATTAAGTTCCATTTTTCTAAGCTCTGGACTTTATTCAGATTTTACTAGTTTTTCCAGTATCCTTTTGCTGTTTCAGTCCTACTCAGGATGCTGAATTACACTTAATCATTATGTCTCCTTAACCTACTTAGGTCTGTGACAGTTTCTTAAGCTTTCCTCACTTTTCATGACCTTGACAATTTTGAGTCAGGTTTTTTGCAGAACGTCTCTCAATTTGGGTTTGATGTTTTTCTCGTGGTTACACTGGCATTTTTAGAGGTATATCGGGGACATCATGTGTCCTCATCACGTCTCATCAAGGATATATGCAATCAATATGACTTATTGATTTCCCTACAATAAAGTACTATTTCCCCCTTTATACTCTACTCTTTGGAAAAAAGCCCCCAAATCCTGCCCACATTAAGGAAGTGGCATAAGGTCTCATTGAGGAAAAGTACAGAAATAAATTGGATTTTGTAAAGCTTTGTTTCTCCTGTCTGTAGACAGTGCTGACTTGGATCATTAACTTTTCAACCTTCCTTGGTCTTCATTTTTTTTCTGAGACAGGGCCATGCCATGTTCATACTTTGATCCTCCATGTATCACACTTGCATACCACATGTCAACATTTCCTCTTTTTAAATACAGTCATCAACCTGCAGTATCCATAGAGGACCGGTTCCAGGGTCCCCATGTAGATGGCAAACTGTGGATGATCAGGTCTCTAATATAAAATGACCTAATATGTTTGCATAACCTGCAGCATTCTTTGGCATACTTCATGTTATTTCTAGATTTCTAACAATATGTAATACAGTGTAAATGCTATGTAAATAGCTGTTATGTTCTATTTTTAGGGAATAATAGTAACAAAAAAAAGTACCTGTATGTTCAATTCAGATATAGCTTTCAAGATAGTTTCAATCCATGGTTGTTTGAACCCATGGGTATGGAATCCAGGGATAGACAGAGCTGATGGTATCTGCATTTAGAAATGCAAATTTCCACAAACTGCTTTATTCCCATCCTTTGAATTTTGTGATTGTTTTCAATATCTCTGAGTTCAACATTTTCCTTCTTCTACTGGGATTTCACAGAGGAGCTCTGTACTATTTCAGATGAGCACCAGGACCATGGTGAAGTAAGCAAGGACATAGAGCACTACATTAAGGAGGCATTCAGTCACTCCAGGATCCTGGAAGCCCAGGGAAGACAGTTCTGCACTTTAGGCTCCTTGCTTCCCTTGGCCTGGTCACAGCCCTGTTTATCTGTATTGCCTAGTTTCCAAACTTTTGGGATTTTTACATGACCATTCTATTACTGATTTTCAGTTCAATCCCTCTGCAGTCAGAAGGTAGCTACAAAAAACCCCAGAGCTGACAACCCAATCAGTGGTGAACTACTGTACCTGAGTTTGAGAATGAGACAAGATCTATGTTAATTAATTCAATGAAACCCCTATAATACCCAAGACAATTTTGAACTCCAAATCTGATGAAATTAACTACCAGATACAGAGATTCAATGCAAAGCTAGAAAAATTAAGACAGTATGGCATTAACACAAGACAGAGAGCTGGACAAATGGAAAAGTCCAGAAACATGTATAGTCCACAAAGGTTACATTCGTTACAGTGGAGAAGTAGTGGTCTTTAGGAAATGGTGTTGGTTGATTTCAATGTTTGTGAAAAAATAACTGTGATGCCATGATTTCTCATTTGAGAAGGTTCAAAAAACAACACGTAAAAGCTAAAAAGTAAAGCTTCCACAAAAAAAAAAATAGGAGGAATATCTGTCCTTGGCAAAAAAAAAATTTTTAAGGAACATACATTTCACCACCTTTAACATATATATGTACATCTTTGAAACCACCATACAGACCAAGGCTGGGACATTTGCAGTGTCACAACATTTCACCACTCCCCTTCCAAGTTGACAAACAGACCTGTTTTAAAAGGGTTGGAGGGAGTAAGACTTGAATAGATGCTTCCTAAAGAGGATGATATACAAGTGACAAATAATGTAATGAAAAAGATATTTTCAAGGTCATTACTCATCAGAGAAATGCAAATTAAAACCATGATGTGATATCAGTATAACTTCAAGAGAAGGACGTTAATTAAAAGGACAGTACCAAGTGTTGGATTCCTAGCATTGAGTCATGCCCCCCTAGCCTTATAATGACATTCTCAATATTGGTACTGGGCATGTAAGTTTTTCAATCATTTTGGAAATGTATTTGGCAATATCTACACTAAGAAGCTGAATATATGGAATTCTTGCATATCTCATCACTATATATAAGCCAAGAGAAAAAACGACCTACCAGAAAGCATACACAAGTTTATAGCAGCCTTATTCAAAATAGTCTAGAATCAGCCCCAAAGTTCATCAACAGTAATGCAGATACATAATACTGTGTCATCATCATTGAATAGAATTCTACCCAGCAATGAAAAAGAATGTGGTACTACTACATATAGCAAGAATGCATCTCATTTGTTGAAAAGAAGTGAAAGACAAGAGTCTACTGTATGATTCCATTTATTTAATTCAAAAATAGTTGCCTAGGGGACTGGAGGTTTGGCTCAAGTGGTAGAGTACCTGCTTTGCAAGCATGAAGCCTTGAGTTCAAACTCCAGTCCCACCAAAAATAAAAAGTTAAAAAAAAAAGATTTTCAAAAAAAGTTGCCTAGGGCTGGTGGAGTGTCTCAAGTGGTAGGGTTCCTGACTAGCAAGCAGGAGGCCTTGAGTTCAAATCCCAGTACCACAAAATAAAAAATAAAAATTAAAAAAAAAATTTGCCTAGCATGGGCAAGTCCCTAGATTTGATCCTCAGCAATACACACACACACATGCAGAAACACAAAAGCAGGAAAAAAAACCAGTTTAGGATGGTAGAGGTCAGAATAATGATTACTTTTGTTGCAGGCTTTGAGTGGAAAAGGGCATGAAGATTTCTGAGCTATTTCTTGACAGTAGGGAGCTAGAAGTGTCATTGTACAACCTGACCCTTGGTGATATTTGCTTGTTAGCATCAGCCATGAAATACAGCTGGCCTAGCCTCACTTCTGCCTTAGAGTTTCTGTAAGTGGGTAGAACATATTTTAGTCAGAACCCTTGCTGCAAGGGAGTCCAGAAAATCTAGTTTTCATACTCTTCCTCTTTTTAGTTTTCACAGGTGACAGGCAAGGGTCAGTGTTGCTCAAAACAATGGATGCCATGCCTCTTGTTGAATGAACTGAGGTTGGAACATCAACCTTTGTTTCAGGAGGCAATCCTTCTAGGGGCTCTGGCTTTTTAAATGTTTGATGACTCTTAGTTTTGTGTTCTGTTTCCTCCTTCAAACTCGAAAACTGTAGCCGACACTTGGAACATGGAAAGACACTCTTCTTGCTCCAGTGCCTCCAACAATGATTCATGTATGACTTTGTAGTTTTGAAAATTTTGAGACAAAATAGACAAAGCAACTTGTTGGTGTTTTCATGGAATGTTCTAAAATGTGTTTCCACATCAGCAAATGCTGATGACCTGTAATTGCAAACCTGGCACACATAGGGCATCTCCCCCGGCTTATGGTTGTCCTTCATGTGTTGTAAGAGAAGCTGATCTGTTTCGAATGACAACTCACAGGTTTTGCAGACAGCAGAGGGCTCCTGGGTAGTGTGCACACTGTCAATGTGACACTGCAGCTGGAAGGGAGTGGGAAACTGCCGGTGGCAGTGCTGGCAGGTGGTGTGGTTTTCCCAGCTGTCACTCCTCTGCTTCTCAAGTTCCAAATGATGCTTCATGTGATTCATAAATTTAACATTTTTTAGAACTTTGAAGCAGCTGATGCATTTAAAGGTTGTGTAAGTCTTCTGTTCTGGCTGCCCATCTCCTCGATGTTGTCCATAGTAGAAGTCACTGAGTAACAGGATCAGATTTCCATTCTTGAGATCAGAGGTCATGTTGTTTTGACTTGCTAGGCTTGAAAAATCTGTTTTTACCAGCCCTTCAAAACTATTTACTGGTTCTGGATTCCCAAGAGCAAAAGGTACATTTTCATTAGTATAAGTCCAAGGAAATGTTCTATTTTGAACATGTGTTGACCAGAAGCAGACACCTTCTGTGGGTGTGCCTGTGTCCATTACAGGAGAGATGCTGGAAGGGATCACAGATGAAGCATGTGTACTTGGGACTTCATACCTGAATTTAGACCTGTTGGGATTTATACTGTTTACATCTGATGTGGAAAGTTGCTCTGAATCACAAGGATTCTCATCTCTGCCTCCTAAAGAAAGTGCAGCCCTGCTAGACACCGAGTTCTTGGAGAAAACAAACCTGATGAATTGAGGGGTACTTGTGGTGAGCTCTTATTATAGACAGGCTTAGATGAAGGTTCATTAGTAATAGGACTATGCATTGATCTCCATTCAGACTGAGAAATCGGAGTGAAACCCATTGCTTTGGCCATTGGGGTCATATGAATTTCAGGCTGCAGTTCATGAGCAGGATCTTGACTGAGGTAACCTTTCTTTCTTTTTGAGCTTGGGGTGGCTCTGTTCAAAATATTTGAAGTAACTGGTTTTGCTTTTGAAATCACCCTGACAAAGAGGACATCAGCATCTTCATTTACATGTTTCATGCCATTGAAGATCAGCTCAGCATCATCATCTTTGTCCCTCTGACTGTATTCTCTCTGATGCTTCTGTGGTGGTTCTGGTTCTTGTTCTTTTGTACTCAAGAAGTGATCTGCCATTTTAGAACTACTTTTTTGGTAGAAGCAAGTGATTCCTTCAACTTCCAGAGCTGTCCTTATCAATGGCCACCTTGAATGCAAGCATGTGAAAGCATTGTTTATTTCAGATGACATTTCATTACCTTATTTAATTCTCCCTTAAAAAAGAGAACAATTGACACCATTGTTTTGCCCAAAAGAAAACAATCTTGATTTTATTTTTCAACGGTAGGGATCAAAACCCAAGGCCACATGCTTGCTAGGCAAGTAATCTACTACTGAGCTACACCCACAAGTCTTGAACTATTTAAAGCACATGACAATATAAGGAACTCAAAAAACTAAACTCTCCCAAAATTAATGAACCAATAAAGAAATGGGCAAGTGAACTAAACAGAACTTTCTCAAAAAAGAAATTCAAATGGCCAAGAAACACATGAAAAAATGCTCACCATCTCTAGCCATAAAGGAAATGCAAATTAAAACCACACTAAGATTCCACCTCATCCCTGTTAGAATAGCCATCATTAGAAACACCACTAACAACAGTGTTGGCAAGGATGCGGGGAAAAAGGAACCCTTTTACACTGCTGGTGGGAATGTAAACTAGTACAACCACTCTGGAAAAATATTTGGAGGCTTCTTAAAAATCTAAACATAGATCTACCATATGATCCAACAATACTACTCTTGAGAATATACCCAAAGGAATGTGACACAGGTTACTCCAGAGGCACCTGCACACCCATGTTTATTGCAGCTCTATTCACAATAGCCAAGTTATGGAAACAGCCAAGATGCCCCACTACTGACAAATGGATCAAGAAAATGTGGTATTTATACACAATGGAATTTTATGCAGCCATGAAGAAGAATGAAATCCTATCATTCGCAAGTAAATGGATGGAACTGGAGAACATCATTCTGAGTAAGGTTAGCCTGGCCCAAAAGACCAAAAATCATATGTTCTCCCTCATTTGTGGACATTAGATCAAGGGCAAACACAACAAGGGGATTGGACTCTGATCACACAATAAAGCGAGAGCACACAAGGGAGGTATGAGGATAGGTAAGACATCCAAAAAACTAGAGAGCATTTGTTGCCCTTAATGTAGAGAAACTAAAGCAGATACTTTAAAATGACAGAGGCCAATAGGAGAAGGGGACCAGAACTTGAGAAAAGGTTAGTTCGAGAAAAACTAATTTAGAAGGTAACACACATGTACAGGAAAGCAATGCAAGTCAACTCCCTGTGTAGCTATCCTTATCTCAACTAGCAAAAACCCTTGGTACTTCCTATTATTGCTTATACTCTCTCTTCAACAAAATTAGAGATAAGGGCAAAATGGTTTCTGTCTGGTAGCAAGAAGATAGAGGGGGGAGAGGGAGGGAGTGGAGGGAAAGTGAGGGGATGGGGAAAGGGGAGAAATGACCCAAACATTGTATGCACACATGAATAAAAGAAATAAAAAAAAGAAAAATATGAAAATGGTACCTATAAAAAAAAATAAGGCACATGACAATTCCAAATCTATCTCCTCCTTCCCCAAGGCTTCTGCAGTTGTGATGTCAATGAAATACTAGCACGAGATTTAAGGAAGTACAGTTCAAATATTTCAGATTGTGTGTCAGGAGAGGCCTCACTGGCTTTTCCCCAGTCCCAGAAGTACCCACTTGGAAATCTAAGCTTTGTAACTAACTTTAACAAAGCTTAGCTCTCAAACACCTGTTGCTCTTCTCAGAGCTGTTCCTTTTCTCAGAGCAGCCATCCTGGATATCCTCAAAGAACGAGTTCCAGGACCACTACCATATCTCCCATCTGGTATACCAAAATCCTCAAGTCCCTCATGTAAAATGACATCCTCCTGTGTACTTAATATACATGATTCAGTGTAAATGCCATGTAAGTAGTCAGTATACTGGATTGTTTAGGAAATAGAAGAAAAAAGTCTGTACATGTTCTATAATGATGATTTTTCTAATATCTTGATGGGTGGGTGGTGAATCCAAGGATTAAGAACTCATGGATAGACAGTGTAAACCTAGTTGCTCAGTTCACAGACTTTGGGTTCATTCTTTGCCTCACACTCTCAGCCAATCAGTAAGCAAACCCTCCCTGTTCTGTCTCTCCCTCTGTCTCTTTAATATCCCAATTGTACTGATTACAGAAAATGCTCAGGACTACTTCATAGAAATTATACTTTTTCTTTACATTACTAGAATATTTGTGGTAGACATGCATTTCTAAATATTTCAACCCATAAACCCAGAAGATTAATGGTAGCCACTAGCAAACTAAAATGGTGCAGTCAGTCTGGGACATTTTTGTTTGTTTTCAGACAGGTCCTCACTATGCAGCCCAGGCTGGTCTCTAGTCCATGATTCTCCTTTCTGAACTCCTGCTGGGATTACAGTTGTATGCCACCATGCCCAGTCAGTATGGGATATTTTATTACCTCCAGAGTATCCCCTACAGGGCTGTCACCCACCCACCACATCTTCAGTGAGGTCAGCACACAGGCCTCTCTGCAGCCTCCCCTAGTCCTTCATAACGCACATCCACCTGGCCAGCCTTTGTGCCCTTCAGATTCAGGGTTCAGCTATGACAACATGAGGATCTTTAACTCTGGTGAGAAACTGGTTTTCAAAGGAAGAACTTAGGTGAAGAAAATCTTTGACAAATATTTAAGTATCGAGAATTTTCAGAAATGAGAAGTCTTTGAATTGAAATGATCTGTGAACAAAACCTCTTCCTGTTGTCTGTAGATCTTCTGCTGGAGCTTGGGGGTTGCTCTACTACTGGAGGGATGACTGGAGGCTTGTTCAGTCCACAGGACAGGCACACCTTCTGCCTGAGAAGGTTCTCATCCTACACCCCCACAGGGTTGTTTTGTTGTGTGTGGGGGGGGGCAGTTAGGTAGAAAAACTTGCAAAACAGTCAGACCTTTTCAATTTGGGCCAGAAATAAGCACCCAAATGCAGCTATGTCATTTCTACTTTCCTGCCAGCCTCTTCCTCAAGACACAAATCAAAGCTGCAGCAGAACTTGGACAAGAAGAGAAGCCAGAACCAGGCTGCCAACCAAGGAGAGACTGCTGTCTCTAGGGCAGCCTCAGGGCTGGGAGATCTTGTTGGGGGCATGAATGCTATGTCCCCAAGGGTTCTGAATATGACAACTGATGGCATCTTAAAGTCAGTGAAAATCTCTATTTTCGAGCTCATTGTGGTAAAACAGACCTTAAATCCCAGCCCTCAGGAGGCTGGCAGAAGATTGTCATTTCAAATCAGCCTGGGCTACATAGCAAGACACCGTGTCAACAAACAAAACAAAAACTCAACCGAACAACAAAAACCTAATGTGGATTACAGCCCACTAAAGTTCCAACTGCACATGAAGGGGATGCCAACTTTACTTTTTAGTAAAGCTAAAAAGCTGGTGGAGCTGGAGCTGGTGGCTCACACTTGCAATCCTAGCTATTCAGGAGACAGAGATCAGGAGAATCATGGTTTGAAGCCAGCCCGGGCAAATAGTTCGTGAGACCCTATCTGGAAAAATCCCATCACAGTAAAGGACTGGTGGAATCACTCAAGGTGTAGGCTCTGAGTTCAAACCCTAGTACCACAAAAAAAAAATATCCTTACCTTTCGAAGCTTTCTCTTTCCCCCTTTCTTCCATTAAGTTTCTTTGTTTGGGTTTTGGTCTTGACATTTTTTAATTAGGAGAAATTAAAAAACCAAAGGTATATGTTGTGACACACCAAAGCGACCACAAAGCTCCACTATGACTGAGCCAAGTGGCTACAACATGATCTGCAATGCCCATTTGCCAGCCCTAGTTTTAGAGAAGCAAAATAAAGGATTCTAAAATTCTTAGCTCACCAGTTCTTCAAGTGGTATGTTCAGAAGCTTCAGTGCTGCTCAGTTGTTCCCATTCAGTGCCACAGGAGACATGGGAGCTGGAGTGTTCATTTCTCCCTTCCAGAAAAGATTGTCCAGAGAGCAACAGCCAGGCTCAACTTGCTACTTGCTGTTCAGCATCCTTTATGAGGGCCAGTCAGGAGATCCCACCATTTTACAGCCCATTATAATCCAATCTACAACATCTGAACTGCCTACAAGAATGTTCCTGAATCAAGTTATCCTGATGGGATTTTCTTCTGTTGTTCAGGGTGATCTCTTCACCTTAACCTCCAGATTGCTATTCAAAGATAAAAATGAGGACTGGGCTTCAAAGCCAGGCCCAGGAGCTTCCTTCCAGTCTGGCTCCAGTAGTAGTGTGAGTTCTACTTCCTCCCTCTGCTATTCAGAGCCTCACTGCCTTCTCTCCAGTTTACCTGGGCCTTGATCTGTGAGGAGTCAGCTGGACCAGGAATCCCACATCAGTAACCCAGAGCAGAATCAGTGGTGAGGGAGCTAAGAGGGCAGAAGTCTTCCCAGGAGCCGGGAAGTGCTGACAGATCCCTTAGCAGCTGAGATCTGTAGCCTGCCCTGGTCCAAGGTGCACTAGGGAGTGGCTCCACTGCACATTGGCTGGGTGGTCTGCATCTGGATGACTCAGCCCCAGTGGGCTTTCCAGATGCTCAGAGTCCTCTCTTGGATTTTCAACACTTTTCTCTAGGTGACAACTCCCTTCTTAATTCTTTCACAGGGTTGGAAGGTCACATCCTGGTGCACTCAGTTCACCTCTCCCTTTCCTCCCCCACTTATCCCTTTACGAGTCCCTCCCTTGGAATCTTCTTGATTAAATCTCAGGCTTTCCCTCTCATTGCCCTTCCAGCCCTAGCAATACAAGCCCTGGGGGAAGGGAGGAATTAAAGAGTCCCTGGAAGGGCAAGAAGCATTTGTAGTTCCACCCATTCCTGTGTGGCCAAGTCACCAAATTAAAACAAAAATCCAGTTTGCAAATTAAAATGTTCTAAGGTGCTGTCACCTGATACAACTTTAAAAATACTTTAGTGGGCCAGGCTGTGATGCTGCATGTCTGCAGTCCCAGCTTCTCTGGAGACTGGAGATAGAAGGGT